ATTATTTGGTTTTCACTATTGCCTAAACCAAACTCATTGATACACATCTCACATTGATAATAGTCGTTTTTGAAATTATACTTTACATGTGGATGAAATAATTGAAAGTCGGTCACTTAAATTACAACTTCGGAAAATTATTTAAGCAAAAACTCTTGATACAAGAAAAATTAAAATTTTATTAAAATTTAGAATGAATTAATTAATTTATTCGTTAAATTGGAATTTTTTTTAGAATTTTTGATTTTATTATTTATTGTAATCTCGCTTTTAATTAATGTGACCTCTGTTTTCCATCTCTTTCAATTATTAAATTATAAAAATTTTACTTGGTAATATGAAAATGAATTGCATATTAAAATCAGGATTTTGGATTTTGTCTAATTATCAAAAAAAAAAAAAAAAAATTCGGAAATTCTTAAGCTTTTAAACAAAAATCCTAAATATCAGAGTCAATTTCCAAAGATATATTTACTTAATATCAGCCAAGTTCCGAAGCACTTTTTACCCATTTATCTTTTTTAATTTATTTATTGGGATGTGCGTTAATTCGGGACGCCCATGGACGTTAATTTGAAGCTACATATCTATTTTAGGGGTATCTGATTTTCGAATTAACGCCCCTGGGCGTTATTTCGCGCTTATACTGTAAATCAGATATATACAGTATAGCTTTGGAATCATTATGTTGATGTTTTCTTCTGGAATTCTTCCATTTAGTACTCGTAAATATTATGAATGCTTGGCACTAAATATATATAATGGAGTTCGGCCTCAAATTATAGACGGAACGCATCTTGCTTTGCCAATCTAATGCAAAGATGTTGGGATCCTAAACCTGAAAAAAGACCAACTTCATCTGAAATTTATGATATAATTTGTTCATGGTATTATTTAAAAAATTATAAAGAATTTAAAGTTTCCGACAAAATTTTACTGACACAAAATAAACAAGACATTGAATTTCACTTATACCATGCCTCTAATTACTTACATTCAAATATACAAAATAATTCATATAGCTGTAAATTTGATTTAAAATCAATACCAAATGCTAGTCAATTTCAAGGTACCAAATTTATTATACTATTCTAGTTAATCAAAGTTGTGATTGACAATATTAGGTTTTAATTGATAATTAAAATATTTTAATTATATTTACAATGATATAGTAATTAAATTTTTTTTCACGATCGAGAAGTTCGACATAAAATGGATTAAATAGTCAATTTTGTAAATTATAACAAGTTTTATTTACAAATTCACCAAAGTAAGTATAGATAATACAATTCAAATCTTAATTCAAATCATACTGATACAATAATTAGTTTTCATGAAGAATTAAATGTCTTGAAATTTTGATTTTGTCTGTATTATTTATATTCTTATAAAAATTAGCAAAACTTATATTTGTATAATTTACTTTTGAGAAACGGTCAAATATGTCTTATCAAACGCTAATATGAACGTGCGATTAATTATTATAATGAAGAAAACTATGAATTCGCATTCGAAATATTGAATAAGATTATACAACAACATGGAGCAAAATTAGAATACAAAAATGAAGCAAAATGTATGCAGGCTCATTGTTATGAATTTGGGAGGGATGTCAAAAAAGATGATAAAAAGGCCTTTAATATCTATTTAGAACTTTCAAAAACTAAGACTCATTCCACTGAAGCTAAAGAATGCTTGGCATGGTTTTATTTTTCCGGGAAGAAGGGTGTTGTGAACCAAGACTCTAAAAAAGCCTTTGAACTCTTTTTGAAAGTTTCAAAAAGCGATTCAGACCAACAAATTTCTGCAAAACTTATGGTGGCAAAATTTTATCTAAATGGGTGGGATGTGGTAGATCAAAATCAAAAAAAAGGCAGTTGAGCTCTTTTTGGAACTTTCGAAAAGCGAATCAGATCAACAAAATCCTGCTATTGCTAAATTTGAGTTGGCTCGTTGTTATGAATATGGATTAGGCATTACTAAAGATGTTGATAAAGCCCTTCAACTCTATTTGGATCCTTCAAAAAGTGAATCGCGTCATCAAAAGGATGCTTTTCAATGGCTAGGAAGATACTACCTAAAAAATGATGATGAAATGTCTTATAAATACTACTAAAATTATTTAAGCCATAATTATGCACAATAATATTTTAAAATTAAGAGAATACGTAACGTTGGTATAAAGGGTTCTACCACAAAATCCCGAAAACCATTTTCCCGTAAGAACATCATACCGACTAAATTGGCCAACATTATAACTAATGCTGGCTAACTTTGTCGGTATTAGGTCCTTTCGGGAATCTGTCTTTCGGATTTTGTGGTAAAACCGGTTAGAGGCCGTGCATCAGACATTTTCAAAGAACATTGCTATTAATATTGTATTTAGTTTTTGAAAATGATTAAAGTCACGTTTATCCTTCGGAGACAATACAAAAAATATTTTTAGAGCGAGCAGAATTATGCACCGCAGAATTTTGGATAAGTGAATTATCGTAGATTGATTGTTAATGATCTGGGGATGTTCATTAGGTTGCAATAATGGTTGATACTGGATATTAGGGTTAGGTTGCAATAGCTGATGCTGGTTAATAGATGGTTGCAATAGAGATTGATGCTGCTTAAAAGGTGGTCGTTGATGAAAATTAAGTTGTTGGTTCTGAAAACTATGTTGGTAAAATAGATGAGGATGCGGATGTTGGTAAGAAATGATTTCAAAACTATTCTGCCTAATCGGCCGAACTTGATTTAAATCTTGTGGTAAATATTGTGGTGAGTGCTCCAAACAACGGTCACATTCGCATCCTGTAACATATTTCCAGCCATCTTCTGTTCTTAATTGAGTGAATTGAGGCATTGTTACTAAAATAAAAGATTCTCAAGTAAGAAAAAAATCGGTATATTTTATGAACAGATTTATATATTCCCAGCGAGAACTAAAGTCATCTTTGAACTAAAATTTACCAGTTTGAGCAAATAATTTAAAGATTAAATATTTACGCGCGCGTGTAATGTTCTATTTTTTATTCAGAATCGTTACTTTGTTTGATTCTGAGTTAAAAAAAAAAAACTATTATAAAAAAGTTTTAAACTACAACAATGTTCAGTCAACTAACTCCTTAATTTTAATAGTGTTACATGAAATATTATTTCGTTAGATATTATACAAACTTCAAAAGAGGAGGAATTCGATAAATGAATTGCATAAGGGGTCAGTCAATAGACTTGATAGTTTTGATGAAAACTCATGTATGATAAACTTTTCAGGCCTCGGAATCCCGTGTCTAATTCAATCATATCTGATTCTAATTTATAATTTAAGCTCTAAAAAAAGATCGAAAATTTGAATTGTCCATAAGGCCATGACAATTGACTAAGAGATTTTATTAAAATAACTCGCGAATGTGCAATAATCTATTTCGACAATGTTTTACTTTGTCAAGATAATTGCACAAATTTAAGGGGTCAGTCAATAAACTTGGTAAAATCTGAAAAATATGTTAACCGAATAATCGAAACATTACTTTCATAAATTTTATTTGAAATCTGAAATTCAACGTAACATGTGATGTGACTAATTGGTTAAACATAATTTTGGTGGAATTAATTCGAATTCTGGTAAACATAATTTTGGTAGAATAAATTGACTAAAATTTTAACGATTCAAAGTATTGTATTTAAATAAGCGTTGAATATCAAACAAATTGTAGGAATGCAATTTATGTAATTAAATTCTTTTACCAATTTTCGTATAAAATAATTCGAAATCTTTAAATGCAAATGTAAATATGTACGTTCTTTCAGAATTAGGTTATTTTACCTTCTTTTCATCAATGTCAGTAGTTTTGTCAATTCAATATTTTGTCTCCGCTTGACAAAATTTAAAAAAGTGAATAACATTTTAATAATTTCGTTCGATATTAATGTAAATTATATTTATCTCTTTTTTATATAGCATTAATAAAGCTAATGATTTCCATACAAAGTACAAAAGTTGCGCTTTTGATGTAACAAACTTATTAAAATCAAAAGAGTAACTTCGAACTTTTGTCACGTGTGACAAAGTTCGAAGTTACTCTTTTGATTTTAATAAATTTGTTGCATCAAAAACGCAACTTTTGTACTTCACACGCGCGTTAAGTGATTCTTGAAACAAGGACAATCTTGTACAAATATTCTTGAGCATTTCAGAATGGTTTAATTATTGCAATTCATTTATATTTGAAAACTATCGGAATCTTGTTGAATATCACACGTATCGTCACTTTTAAAATATCACTAAACTAGACAGTATTATTTGTATTCGTTGCATAACCTCCATAAATGATAATGATTCCATTTTCTGATATTTAGCGTCAAAGACAATAACTTATATAATGCATATGCATACGTACCTACCATAGTATTCTTAAGTGTAATTAGAGATGTGACCCGTTATTCACTGAATCAAAATTTATTAATAAATCTATTGAATATTCACTGGATTTTATTGATAAATTTCGATTCAGTGAATAACAGGTCACATCTCTAAGTGTAATCAGTTACAATTATATACAAAATATTTAAGATTATATTACAAAATTATTAGGCAATTTGTACCGATATTCTCATTACTTGCACTACATTCTGCAGTATTATTTATTAGATTAATTTATTTATGTAGAGAGTAGATTTTTTAAAGGTCAGACGAATAGATGTGTGCTTTATAATCTCGATCTAGTTGCAGTATGTTGCATGTTTTAGTAAAAAAAAACACTCCAAAATACATTTTTAGGAGTCACAAACTTTTAGCCTTGGGATGTACTATATAAAGGGTCAGTCACAGTAAAATAAACTTAACTTCGATAGTGTCACGTGAAATTTCCTTCGTTAAGATATTGCACCAACTTCAATGGTGCATAAGAAGTAGTCAATAGATTTAACGGAATATAAAAGGTTGTGATAACTAAAAATAACTTATACATATTATCGAACTAATACTAAGGGCGGGCGTTTTGCAGACCCCGCTTATTATTTTCACATGTAATATCATGTGCTTTTAGCTCTCTCTTGAATTTGTTTATTAATTTGATCAATTGATAATTATTTATTAATAATTACTTGGTGTATTATTTATTAATACTGTAATAATTAAATCCGTAGACTCTTATTAATCAAAAATGTTTACATTATAATTTTAGTTTTAAATGGAATTAGGATTAATTTTGTATTGTTTTTTAAAAATGTTAAATTGAAATTTTAATATTAATCCAATTCATTGAATGTTAACTTGACAAATGAAAATTATAGAATTAATTTTCTTAGCATAGATAAAGCTGGTACTAGTAAAAGCGAATACAAGAGCCTCAAATCTTTAATAATTGCAGTACTGCAAAAGGACAGAAAATTATTAATGTTTTTGTAGGTCCGTTATATCATGTGATGCTATTTCATAACTTTACTCAATGAATTTTAATAAATGAAAAGAAACTTTTAGAAAAATGTAATTATAGGTAGTAAGGTGTGAATGAGTGTAAATATTAATTTATTTAATAAAATCAATTAATAAATTTATTATTTTAACCATTTTATTAATCTGATTTAAGGACAAAAATTTTACATTTGTAAATTCACAAGTGCCGAATAATAAAAATACATGAAAAGCAAAATTAAAATCCTATAAAAAATTAACTTAAATACTCTCAATTGTTTATTTGATTTGCTTCTATTCGGAACAGATGGAATTACAGAGCCTTGAACCAAAATTCGAAATAACGTTCCTGCACGTTATTTCGCGATATGGTGGTCAAAATTTATTGATTTCTAACGCTACTACATATGAAGTAATTGTTATCAAAAAAACTTAAATTGAATTTCATATTAAATAGTTTAAAAGAGCCTAATTGATATCATTTTTTATTTTTTAGAAACTTAACAATAGAAAATAACTAGAACCCCATTCTATTTGAATTCAATTAGTTAATTCGAGTTCTTGATTTAGAATACGTAACAATACAAAGTATGACGTGTAAGAAAAACAAAAACATACTTAGAATATATAAAATATATACTCTAAGCATGGTTTTGCTAGGCAACAACACATAATATTGTATAAATTAAAAAATAATTAAATATAAAAATTCACAAATTGTAAATAACTTAAAACTGGAAAAATGTCAAATTTATTTAAATCTAATCTGAGTTTATTTGAAGCCAATTTGGGCTTAAGTAAACTTAATCTGGGTTTAAATAAACATAATTAGAATTCAAATAAACCCAATTCTGATTTAAGTAAATTCAAGTTAGGTTTATTTGAACCCAATATAGGTTTATTTGAATCTAGAACATGTTTATTTGAACCTAGATAGATTTATTTGAATCTAAGTTGGGATTATTTGAATTTAAAACATATTTATAGAAATCTAAGTCAGGTTTATTTAAACCTAAATTAGGTTTATTTAAACTCAATCTAGGTTTATTTGAATCTAATATAGGTTTATTTAAACTTAAAATAGGTTCATTTAAATTTAAAATAAATTACTTGAACTTAAGATAGGTTTATTTGAACCTAAACTAGATTTATTTAAACCCAAAACTAAAATAAAAAAAAATTAAACCTTAAATCCAAGGCAATGCCTAGTCCTAAGAGCAAATTAAAAAAAAATTAAAAACTCAAATCTGGGCATGGTTTGGGTCCTATAAGCTAGTAGGTTCATGAATGCTCCATGTTCAATTTTTGGCAAAATTTCTATAAAACTTCTCAAAATAGTATGAGAATATTTAATATAAAATATAATATAATGATAAAATAGATTTTAGTAGTTATTTAACATTTTAATATCTGTAAAATAAAAACTAGAGTAATCAAGATAATGAATCATTCTTTTAAGTTAATGAAAATAGTAAATTAAATTTGAATTATGATATTGCTAAAAGAATTAGAAACAACATTAGTCCAAAGAGAATTCAATAAACTGAAGACAATTAGACAAATAAAATCTCTAAAATTACTAAGAAAGATCAAGTGAATAATATTTATTCTAATTAAAATTAATATAAATTTAATAATTTGAATAATAGAAATATTTAATCACATAAATTATTGATATTATTAAAGAATTTAAGTTTGATAAAAAATATTTGTAGTAATAATAACAGTAGTAATTATGATTCTTCAGAATGGTCAGAATGTAAAGAATGCTATGAATCTAAAAAAGAATTTTGTAACTTTTGTGATTGTTCTATATACAAGTAGAAAGGAGATCAAGATTATATTCTTCCATGTAATAGATTTTGTGATAAAGACTTTTATACCAGGTGTTTAAAACTATTACTTGTAAGAATACTAGGCAGAAACTGGTACTGCATAAGATGTTCAAGGAAATTGAAACATAAGACACAATTAGATAATTCAAATTCAAGTGACAACACAAAAAAAAATTAAAAAATCAAATAGAAAAAGAAAATGTAAACTAATACAAAATTATAATAGTAAATAAGCTATTTTTATTATTTCATATTAGAAACAAATTTAAAATATTATATAAATTTATTAGTAAAGAATGTGAAAGTACCTACAGATAATGAAGTGATAAATTATAAACAAGTATTAATTTAATGATCTAAAGATTTTAAAAGCTATTTATCAATATTATTATCACTATTAAAGATAGAAATGTAGAAAATAAATGTATTCTATCAGTTTCTATAAATAATAATGAGATAAAAATTATATATATTTTTTTTAAATACTAGCAGATTCAAAATTTAATACTAAAATTGTCTTAGATAAAAGCATAATTTTTACTAATAACAAATTAAAAATAATTTTAGAATATTTATTAAACTATTGGAAATCTGTCTGAAGATAAGAAATCT